TTTCTAGTATTTTTTTTTTTAGATTTTAATATTAATTGACTTTATTCTTACACCAATTAAAATAAAGTTAATAAATAAATGGGAAAGGAAACCTCTACTCGAATAAACTATTCGATTTCAATTGTCATTTCCAGCAAAACATTGAGAAGCTTTTTTAACTTTCCAAAACTTCATATACCATTTCATGACAGCACAAAAGCGAGCATAAGTGAATGATAATTTTACGACTCTCAAGATTAACGAGAACCCCATTTAATTATTACAACAGCGTCGCGCTACACAAGTCGGCGAGTTGAGAAGTGACAGCTTATGTCAGGTTCTTTGAGCCCATTCTCTCGCGGGCAAGTTTCGAGACCTGTCCAAAAGTTTGCACAGCTTGGACGGAACTTGCAGACAGAGCTCGCTTCCCTGTGACACGAAAATAAGATTATGACCTTCCGTTTTCAAATGCAGACACAAATTGCGAACGTGTCTTAATTGAGTAATCGCTATAACCTACTGGAATAAACATGTAAATATATGCTTAATTCTGACAAAATTTACTAAACCTCAAGTTCTGACATTAGTATGAATATTAATACAAATAAATAGTTACAGGCTGTTAGACACACTTTGATGATTTTATTTTTGACGTTATCTGTCTGTTAATCTCTGTCTATTAATCTTTTTTTATTCCTGCACAAACTTTAATTTGAATGGCTCCTTTTATCTTCTCTTTCAAGGGACGACCTCCGTGGCCGAGTGGTTTGTACGCCGGATTTCATGGTGTCGCCGACTCGAGTTATGCATGCAGTTATGCATGTTTAATATGTATTTCTATATAAATATACTTATATATGTACAGTATATTATGTATTCTATCCGTTACGTCGGGGAAAAAACCTCCACCTTACAGAAGACCACAGAAAAATAACACTACCTTTTGGTGTGAGTAAGGTTCCAGGGCTTGGGATTGGGATCAGGCTGGCAAGGTGAGTTTGGCTGAAGAGCGCACACTTTGTGCCGCAACATCCACCTTCGCGACTCGACTTCGCTTACACTAAACATCAGGTAGAGTAGTGTAATTTGTTACACCTCCTATAAAAATAACAGATTTGCGTGCCCAACGGTAAGGGTCAATACTTACAAATTAAACACATAAATATCAATAAAATCTAATAATACATTGCCATGATGGTGATAAAAAGATTGAAGTATGTCATATTAAAGTACATATTTCAACTCAAAGAAATAGGTATGCATTCAATGAAATCAAAGATAATCACTGGATTAAAGTTTATTCGTCGCAATCCATCCGTGTTATTTAACTTGACGATTTCATAACGTAATTGTCAATTTATACTGCAACTAATTCAAATGTCATGGTTCAATGACAGGCAGGTGTCTGTCATTTGTAAAATTGGAATTCGTGCTCCATGCTTGCGTTATGGAGTTATAACTGTATGAAATATTAATCGATTTTATGCCATTGTTGTAATAATAGCTATCACTCTGAATAGTTAGGAAACAAATTGCATATAATGGTTCAGACCAAGTACCTTCCGAATATAGACTCATTCAATACGTACCTTTTAAATTTTAATTAAGATCTAAACATAGATTGTGCTCTGAACAAATAAATACTTAAGGTATTTGTATAACTCTAAGACTGTGCGCATCTCGAATTCGAAGCTGTCTATTATTGAGATCCGCTTAAAATATGATGGAAAGTAGGTCGGTGTAAGCATTCAGGTATATTTCTGTCAGCTCCTTTGGGAGACGCGGCCGATTGACATGGCCGCCCGCCCCCGAGAGTTCCAACTACAGGTACCAACATACCTAGATACCTACCTATCTAACTGCAGCGCTGCATAGTGCTTAGCTGATATATTTATTTGTTTCTTAGGTATTCACGCACACCACTCATTAAATAAAACAAGCTTAAATGGGTTAAATGCATTAATTTATTACTTTTTTTGACGTTTCGCATCCTTTTCTTTTGATAAATTTATTCTGCAGTTTTTGCGGAGTTCAAAATCCGACGGTTCAGTACCAACATGCTATACTTTACCCAACTTCCTCTGCGGCAAAAGGTGAACAAACCATAAAAAGGTTTATCAATAGGTCAAATTTACACGCATCAAAATTAAGGAAAGTGACACTAAAAAGACCGAAATCCGTAGCTTTGCCTAAACTTTGAACGCATTATGATACTACTAAATTGAAGAGTAGTAAGTAATAAAGCAAATAAAATTAACGTTAAAATGTGAAATTTTGTAATCAGTCTTGTTATACCAGGCCATTACCATCTTTGCATTTTATTTATCTTTATTTGTTTTCTTTTTCCATTTGTTTACCTTTTGCCTTGAAAGTTGAATAGAGTATAGCAAGTACCTACACTTAGCGCTACATGCGTATAGCTGATTAATTTACTTTACTATTTTTGCGAACTAGAAAAAGCCTGACAGTTACGAATTGAACCCATACACGGTAGGTTCCGCGTATTATGGTGCACGATTTGATATTTTGAAATACAGCCAATAAAAGTACGTTATTTATTAATGTATTATTTTTTATTCATTAGTCTTCTATTAATTCTTAAGTAAGTAACTTAACTTTCTTTCTACCTATTAAGGTTCATAAGACCGAAGGCTTTCTGTTATTACTGAACCGTTTGAATATTCTAAAACATCATGCACTCAGAGTTTTATCTATATACATTCTTATACAAGCTTGTAAATTAGTTATTTATCGTGAGGACATTCAGAGCAAATAGGAGCTCGATGGCGCAAGTGGTTAGCGCGTTCGGCTGCGATCGTTGAACTTAAGCAACTTTCGCAGTGGTTGGTCATTGGATGGGTGACCAAAAATTACTATCTCGAGCTTCTTCGTGCTTCGGAAGGCACGTTAAGCTGTTGGTTCCGGCTGCATCTGCAGTCGTTAGCACCCACCAATCCGCACTGGGCCCGCGTGGTGGGTCATGGGCCAATATCCCTAATCCATCCATAGGGAAGGCCTGTGGCCTCGGCAGTGGGGACATTAATAGGCTGATGATGATGATGATGATGATATTGCTCTGATAACAATGACCACCATTACAATTAAAATAGTATTGTTAAATTTATCGTTTCCAAATAGAAATTCCGAAAATTAATTCCAGTCCCATTGCGCCATAAACATTAGCTTGTATGATATAGACTGACATAATACCTATAAGTGGGTGGACTAACCATAACGAGTAGTGTCGTGTTGCTTTTAATGTACTGTTGCAAAATTATCCTATTATATTAGGTAGGTAGTATATTATAGTTTGTATTATTGCTTAAAAGTTACTTAATCTTAAGCTAGTCGCGCCTAAATACTTAGACAATTAATCTGTAATATCAGGATTTATGAAACAGATAAAATAAGTGAAAATATTTATTTTATAAAGGAATTTTAAGAACTACTTCTAAATTAACAAAATAATGTAAAGAAGTTAGAAAACAACAAAAATATAAACTTTAAAACAAAAATATAAAAATATAAACTTTAAACAAAAATATTAACTAAAATATAGTAAATCTAAGTAGAAAAGATTACTAAAAAAATCCACGCGGACTAGGCAGCAGACGGGACTCGAACCCGCAGCCTTCGCTATCCGCTATTTTTTCTACTAAACTTTTCTTTAGATTTAAACATCTAGCAGTTAAATGCATAAAAAATAAAACCATAACTATAATTGCTATTTCTTCTTTCAAAATATTAATTAATACCTGTTAAGGTATTCATTTGGCATTGTGGGCTACCTACAATGCGAAGAGATGGCACTGCCTTGCAGCCTAACGCTAGAGAAAATTCGACACGGCCGTCAGGGTGGCGGTAGCATAATGATCAGTGCAATTCGCCCGGATAGCGAAGGGTGCCGGTTCGAGTCCCGTCTGCTGCCTGGTCCACGTGGATTTTTTTCTAGTAAACTTTTCTTTAGATTTAAGCATCTAGCAGTTAAATGTTTAAAAAATAAAAACAACTATAATTGCTATTTATTCTTTTCAATGTTTAATGCCTGTAAAGGTATTCATTTGACATTGTGGGTACAATGCGAAGAGATGGCGCTGCCTTGCAGCCTAAGGCTAGAGAAAATTCGACACAGCCGTCAGAGCCGCGGTAGCATAATGGTCAGTGCATTCGCCCGGATATCGAAGGGTTCGAGTTCGAGTCCCGTCTGCTGCCTGGTCCGCGTGGAATTTGTTTTATTCAACTTTTCTTTAGATTTAATCATCAAGCAGTTAAATGCTTAAAAAATAAAAACATAATTCATAATAGTAATCAAAATTATCTTATATTATTAGGCACATGAATCACAAACTTTTGTAAGGTGTTCATTACACATGAATTTGTTACATTGACCACATTTGGTTTTTGTTTTCAAGTTTGCACCTAGTTGCATCCCGTAAAATTTAACAAATAATAATAAAACACTAGTTTGCATAAAATTGTGAAACAAAATGGTCATTATTCCACTTACGAAAATTGTACTACATTATTGGTTGCGCGTCCGTTGGACACCAAGCACCTCCGTACCGCAAGTCTGATCGAAGCCGCGGCTCGCAGATTCAGGGTGAGCTAGGAAGCTACTAAGACGCACAGCCGTGTAAGTGTAATATTTGCCGAAATATGACCAAAACAATAGACCCCACGCAACTAATTAGAGGTTAAGCAATTAAGGGTCCGACTTGAGTAATTGTAATATCTATATAATAGTATAATAAATTACAAAACTTAGACTGTTACCTAAATTACTTTGTTTAATAATTCATTTAATTAAGAATGTATGTCTAAATATGATAATCAATTTATTTTTATTAGGTAAGTACTTCTAATTTGTGCCTGAGAAGGCTTGTCTCATTTAACATTTATTTTCGTGACAAAATGTAGCGTTATTTGTTTCTTAGTCGTGGTCCAGACAGGGGGTTTATGCGTGGTACATAAAACATAATTTAATATAACAAAATAGTAACATTTAATTTCATTTGTTTCAGATGTGACAGTGCTGCCAACATGGTGTAGACTAATCAATGACTGTGCCAATTTGCGTGCCAAATATGGCAATGTCCGATGCTAGTGTGACTTTGCTCGCGTTATAACTTCGAACGGTGCCGTTGTTCAGTAATGAAACGGTGAAATATACAAAATAAAGATGGGACGACGACGCTGGAGATTCATCACTATCGCTTCGTGCCTCCTATTTATAATAAAAGACACACAGTGTCAAGGTAAGTGCTTAAATTTGATTTTGAAATCATTGAAATTTAGCATAGCTTACAGGTCGCGGGACGAATCTCTAGCGCTTAAAAAAAACGCGGAGGTGATAGCTGCGCATAGGTACGACTAGAGAGCCAATCGGCGCAACGCACGTCCACCCGCGCACCTCGTTTCCCCCAAGACATCATAATTATTACTTCTGCCAGCGCTAGAGTTTCGAGCTGCGACTTATACGTATACTTTTAGGAAAACGAGCTAAAATACAACCTGTTCTGTGATTGGCCGTAATACGATGCTATGCTGTGAGGTATTTAACGACGGCCACCTTTCTCGTGTGATGCAGATTTTCATGCTTTTTTTGAGATAAGGAAAATACTCCAATAACTCTTTTCTGTGATACTTCACTTCGTCGTAGGATTTTTGAATTTTGACAGCAATCTCTTCCGAACAAGAAAAGCCAGAATAAAACGTTGACAAGCAGCAAATTTAAATATTTATGAACGTATGAAATACTAGCAAAACATATAGGTACCGTACTTGATTATTGTGCTTTATGCCACGCGGAGGCAACACACTGCGAAATTAGAAAATTTTATTTTTCTGTAAGATATAGGTTTAATGCGCAGTACTTACACGAAATAAAATACATACAATATAATTATTATTTATACAAAGTTCGGTTGGGATGCCAGGCGACAATAGTTTCCAAAAAAACATCCTTTACAAACTGAATGATTTATTTATTTTGGGAGCTTATTGTTTATCAACAATCTCAAATCAAAGATAGATTTGTCCGCTTGAGACTATGAGCTATTCGTAAACACAATTACCTGTTGCACAAGTTACTTTTACTGGCCAAACAAGAATGAAGTTTCGCTCAGGCATGTTAAGTGTTAAACAAACATCCCTATAGAAAGTGTTCTATTTGGTCTATTAATCTTGTCTATTTATTTATTTACTAAATAAACAGAAAATAAACCTTTTGTACCTATCTTATGTAAAAACTTTAGGATATAAAGTACTTACTGAGCGAGAAGATAAAAAAATATGTAAAAGCTGGCTGTGGACTTGACCTACTGTGATTTTAAAATCCGCAGATTTAGCATTCAAGGCATAGATTTAAACATTTTAAGCATTTTGAACGAAGCATTTGAATTGTAGAATTTTTTATTTTCTTTGAATGCTGAAGATAAAACAGTCAGCTTATTAGGAGCTTAATCTGTAGCATGAGATAAACTCAAGCTCTGCAAGATTACACAGAATATAGTTACAGTTTTCTACGTGTAAACGTGAAATACAAAGTTGCAAAAGAGTTCATAACATTGAATTATTACCTTAATGAAACTTTTTTAAAACTGGGTTATGAAGCGAGTTTATTATAATGTATTTATTTAATAAAATACTATAATATATATCAATAGAATTTTCGTGGGTTCCAACACTTTGAAAATTATATATTACCCGCTCCGGCTTTGCAAGGTACATTTGTTGAAAATTGTTGAGATTTCTTTACGGAAATACCAATTTAAACTAGTAGTTTTTATTTTTTTTTCACAAAAACCTTATCTTCAGAAAAAGTACAACTACAAAAAATATTTAGCCAAATCTGAAAAGCCGTTCTATAGCAATATTTTGTCATAAATTTGGTAGGCATTTGATCTTAATGATTTGGAGATCCTGGAGTGCTCTGGGAATCTACAACTTAAATCAATTTATGTTAATATTGATAATTTCTTTACGATAACAATAACATGAGACATCTACGTTACCCATATGGTGACCCTTACATGTTTTTTCTCTACGAGGAACACCAAATTACCTCCTGATATGAAGTGTAAGTGGAGCCCAGTCGCGAAGTTAGATGATACGGCAGAAGATGTGCCGCTCCAACCATCCTCACCTAGCCGGCCTGAACCAAAACCTCTGAGGTGAACCAAAACCCCGCGGACACTGGAACCCTATAGACCAATAGAAACACAGCACCACAAAAAGGTAGTGTTATTTTACTTCCGTAAGGTGTAGGTTGCGCCCCGGACGGGCGCTCCAATTCGAGTGGGAAACATAATCATAATAATCATAATAATTTATTCAGTTTAGGCTGTTACATGCACTCATGAATGTCTAGAAGCTACGCCATCGGTTCGTAAATATACGACGGGAGACCTTGTACTGAGAAGAACCGGCAAGAAACCGGCTCCCTGTTTTATTATTTACAGAGTCATCAAATTGAAAAATTACTTCAGAGATGATTCATGAAGTCACCTTTCATTACATAATAATTAAATATACATTAATTGTTTACCTGCATTTTGATTGCTGTGTCATACAGTATAAATACAAATAGTGGTATTTATATTGAGTGTGAATAAACAGTAACTTCAATATTAAGGAAGTTAGGGCAGAGTCATCTCCGCTGGCAGCACCCGTTCTGAAAACCGCTGTGCTCTCTCTTGTTATACCTAAAATAATAGGATCATGACTTAAAGAAACCGCAAACCAATTAAAATTTTAAAATTTATAATGTTCAAAATAAAATTAATGGAACGTTTATTTTGTTGACAAAAATACGAGTACTAACCACAGTGAAACAAAGAAGTCATTTGTACAAATGGTCTGCATTGTCACATATAACTTCGAGAACAATTCAAGCTGTACGGTCCACTACTCGGAAAACAAAGCGACAGTAATGGACAAAACCGGACCGAAAGCAACGTGTACAGCCTATTTTACGGAGCCGAGAGCGAATAATGCAAAAACGCGATCTATTTAGATACCGTTCGAAATATTGTTTCACTACGAAATGAAAACGTGTTAGTGCACTATCAGATTTTAGAGTTCTTGTTATGCAACAGACATTGCTTTATAAATAAAGAGACGTACGTTAACGCAAACATTTTTGTTATGTCTTAGTTGAAATTTTCTTTAGTTTGCATGAAAATCGATGGAAATATTGTTCTATTAGATATATATTTTTCGACTAATCGTAGCATTTTACAAAAAAGTGACAATTATATTGATGTATTTTGTATTACTCTCCATAACAGTGATATCATAAAATATTAATTGATAGATTTCGATAAATGCTCAATATTGAATTTGCAATAGCAAAAACTTTCCGAAAATTTATATTGTGAAAACAAAGTTTTATTTCTAAGATGATTAATAACTTTATAAAGCAATTATGTTAAACACTACCGATAATCGAACTATCAAAGAAATGAAGCACTACGAAAGCTTAGTAAATACCTATTCACCTTAATTCTCCACGTATGTGGATTTTGCCAGTGCTTTATTTATTATTCAATAGCCGACGTGCACCAACTGCTGGTCATATCATTTTTTAATTCTACCGTTGAACTAGTGGCGAGGATTAAAAAAACGGAACCAGATTTAGAACTTCGATTTTAAATAAAAATAAAAAGCAGCCAAGTGCGAGTCGGACTCGCCCATGAAGGGTTCCGTAGCAGCAAGTAACATAATATAAAAGTTCTTGTAGTTCGTTGTGACTTTGTTCGATATTTTAATAATAGTGTACTTTTTTTATTGATTTGTGATTTATGACGTATTAAAAAAACTACTAACTAGATCTCGTTCGAACCAATTTTCGGTGGAAGTTTTCAAAGTTATGTACATTATATTTTGTTTTTAGTTGTATCAGTCTCTTATTTTAGAAGTTGCAGGGGGACACCCACACATTTTACGACTTTGGAGGTGTCTCTCGCGCAAACTATTCTGTTTAGAAAAAAAATATATTAGAAACCTCAATATCATTTTTGAAGACCTAGTGGCTGTGACATACGGTAGGACAGAAGGACGGACATGACGAATCTATAAGGGTTTCGTTTTTTGCCATTTGGCTACGGATCCCTAAAAACACACGTACTAAGACTACAGCCCATAGGCGCCTTATTATTCAGTCGGATAATAAGGCGCCTATGGGCTGTAGTCCATGTATCGAATGCGTTATTGCAATATTGTGTCATACCTCTTTTGCGTCGTTAGTATCGCAACAGTGTTTAATTTCGTAGCCGTTTTCATACGATATTATCGACCGATAATAACACGCCGTAACACCTAAGCTAAAAGCTTAATATGAATGGTACTAAGAATATTAAGTTTGTTTTAGCCCATTGGATACTCATAAAAAACGAATTCAACGATAAAACTATCTCAAAACGTACTGCTAAAAAAATATATGTACCTATTCCAATTTAATTTTGCATTCTTGCACGTACAAAAAAAGAATCGTAGCATTTAGAAACGATTCCGTTCAATGTGAAATCCCTTGCAGCGCCCATTTTATTCAAAGGCTTATTTCTTTTTTAAACGATCCTTAAAAAGTAGGTTGTAAATTTTCCAGGTTGTTTTTTTTCTGCATTATAATGTTCCGCCAAATGTGGCCTGGTTTTCATGAGTCTTTTTTTAATTGGAATTAGGTGTGAGCGTTCTAAAGACGAACTGGTTTCAAGGACCGTTTTGTGTTCCGCGACGATAGAACCGTTTTACGTTTCGGATCAAAACAGTCTTCGTCGAACAACTAGTCCTCGGATTGTCTGCACGCCAATATGTACTTTATGATGAAATAAATACAGTCTATAATAGAATGCAATGATATGAGACCGTTTCGTTCTATAATAAATTAAGCTTTGAGTTTACAATAAAATAATCTTTATTATTGAACACTTAAAGTCGATTATCATATAACACTACATTTATTTCGATGTTTCGTCGTCTCGTTTGCAACAACGAAACGAAGTACGAACGTTAACAAGATTTCATTTAGTTCAGTTTCGTTGCGTTACCTTCGTTCGACCGTCGCGTGTCGTTTCGTTGCGTCGCCCAGCCGCAACCAAAACCAGTTGCGAACGAGAACCGTTTCGAGGACTACTTTTCGTTTAAGAGAAAACGGTTGCGTTTCGTCGTCTGAAAATTTGAGAACGACCCACCGCTAATTGGAATATTATTCTCCCAGAGCAGCAGACCATTATGTTTATGTCACTAATTCCAATTG